TGAGATCACAGGGCACTTACTGGCTTCGAGACCACATACTGCACTCTCGGCCAGGAACTCAACGTACCTGAATCACCATCGTCCATAAGATCAGAACACGCACCACTCCTTCCGGATCAGTGCCGTTATCGTCCTCAAAAGCGTGAACGCCAGACTACGAATATCACCGCTCCGGCCAAAAAAACACAGAATGCAGTCAACGGCTAAAGGGAGCAAACAGCACCCTCACCGGCCACCCGGAAACGAAAGGACACTCATCGTCCCCATACAAACGAACACTCATCGTCCCCAAACAAAGTGACACTCTTCGTCCACACCAAGGGCCCCAATAACGGTTCTCGTAATGACGCAAAACACAAAAACCAGAGCAAAGGGTGCTCATAACGGCCAAGGTAGGAAAAACCCCATAACGGTCCCACAACGGCCAGAAAACGTCAGAAACAGGAAATCTACTCTCCTTCACTTCGCCTACATCTCAGCTAAGAGAGTGGGGGACTCCTGATGGAGTATATGGGCCTGGACCCCAGGGCCCACATACTCGGAAGAACAGAAGGTACCAAGACCACCTGGTGGGTCCCTCGTCGGCCAGATGACCCTCATCGGCCAGAAAGAAGTCTACTCAGAACGTGATCCAGAAGCCAGGAAGAGCCGGGTGACCTCGTCGGCCGGGTCTTCATCGGTCGTGCCCTCGTCGGTAGTGCCCTCATCGGCCACAGATGGCCTCCAGAATAGGGTTTTGTACTTAATCATTTCTACACTTTGTACCCAGCCCATTAGTGGCCCTATTGTAAATGTGCCTCCCAAGCCCAAGACTTGGGAGCCGAGACCTATTTTTTCCTATAAATACTCCCTCTGGGAGTAGTTGTAAGGGTTCACAATTCATTAATACAAAGCAATTATACTACTTCTCTCTCTAGCTCTCACTTCTCTCTATACTTATCTTCTATCATTGGATATCCGACATTAAGGACTCAAAGTCCACAAGTGGATATGTTTTCACTTTGGGAGGTGCAGCCGTGTCATGGAAATCTTCGAAACAAACGATAATAGCCAGATCCACGATGGAATCTGAGCTAATAGCCTTGGAAAAGTGCACTGAAGAGGCTGAATGGCTATGACATTTTCTCGAGGATATTCCAAGTTGGGAAAAGCCTGTCCCTCCAATATGCATACATTGCGATTGTCAAGCGGCAATTGGAAGGATACAGAGCAACATGTATCATGGTAAGTCTAGACATGTTCGTCGTAGACATAACACCATTAAACAATTCCTCACAACGGGTGTTATCACTGTTGAATACATGAAGTCAAAGGATAACATAGCGGACCCGCTAACCAAGGCATTGGAAAGAGAATTGTTGGAGAAGTTGTCACGAGGAATGGGACTAAAGCCCGTAAATTGAAAAGTTCTATAGTGGATACCCAACCTAGTTGGTCCTAGGTTCAAAAGAGACAACTAAATTATAGAGCGAAGGATGGTCACTGTGGGGGTCCCAGACTCCTACCCACTCCTCGTTGAAACAGTGACTGCCGCACGAGGTTAGAAAAAACGTTTGCTTTAATGATTCTGAAATGTTGATCTACTCGATAACATTGGAAGAGTATGCAGGATGAAAGAATCACCTATTTGAGAGAAGAGGGCCGCTTCAAAGGAGAACTGTATAGGCTAAGTTCTTTAGAAACTCTTGCAGAACCAGGACAGTGACCCATGGCCAAACCTGGCACACCTATGAGAACAGAACAAAGTTGTAAGGTTCTTGTGTAGAGATAAGTCAATGTTTACACGACGGCAGTATAGTTCAAGGACATCGAGTCTACTAGACAGCCAGTAAATAAACGTGTCTTTACAGCGAAAGGTTCAAAGGATAAAACCTACCTCTCCGTATGCAAGGATCATCTGATGAATACAATGTGTCCTCCTATCTTCTTGTCTTTTTTAAGTCTCGAAAATCAGTTTTCATTCATGTGGGGGATTGTTGGAAAAATGTGTTAAAATTTGCATTAGCTGGTGATTTTGGGGCAATATTTTGAGTGGGGTCGACTTCTGGTTTGGGTCGGGTCAAAGTGGTTTCGGATTGTCCTTGTTAAGGGCTACAATTCGATATATGGCACGCTCAAAACGGATAACGGGTGAATGAGAAATTGATTCTCGAAGTTCACTCGTTGAAATGGAAACACTGGGAAAATGATGGGTTTCTAGTGTGATTTATCCCACACCGGAAAACCCAAGGGATTTTCACCCCTTTATAAAGGGAACTTACCTAGAAGGAGTTAAGATTCCTTAGGGGAAAAGCTCTCTTCACGCACAGGGGGGATCGATCAAATCCGAAAACGGAGAAGAAAATCGCGACTCGTGCTCTGTGGGCGACCTGCGGACACGAATGCCGTCCGAAAAATCTATCATTCCTTAGCATCAGAGTTGCTCCAACTCTGATGGAGGTATTCTGGCCACGCACCAGAACTGCTCCAAGCCGTTACGGAAGTTAATGCCCAATGTTCTTATCTTTTAATGCTACGTTAAATGGACAGTTTATGGTCGATTCAATGCCCTACGGACTGGTCATTGATGTCCAACGTTCAGCTCCATTAACGCTCCATTTAACACACAACAAATCCTCCTATATATAGTTGGCAGGTGTGTGACACCTTGAAAATTTAATAAAATAAAATTAAGAATTTAATTAGTCAGATAAAATATTACGAAAGTGACTTTTTTTAAGCGAGTCAAACAAAATTTTTGCAATAGATGTGACATTCGAATCAGATAAAATTTCAAAATTTATGACATTTTAGTCAGATAAAAATAGTTCAGTAATAAAAACAACATTTTATTAAACAAGTGAACCAGACAAAAATTTAACATTTGTGACATGTTTAGTTTGATAAAAATGGTCGGATAATAGAAGTAACGTTTTATGTCAAGTACCAATTATACATAAAGTATAAGTAATAAAAGTTATTTTTATATAACTATTTTAAGATGCATCTAAAATAGACAAAGTACAAAAAAAATATACTCCTAATACGTAAACTACACTTACGTAATACTCCGATATAATAATACTACAATAATACTAAACGCTAGTTATTAATAATACACTTACGGAGGATTACATACAATAATATAGTAATACATATTCTAAGAGTAAAATAAGTAGGCTACTCAAACTTATTAATCAGATAGCTAAAGCAATGGAATAAAACAAGTTGAACGGAGCCTCTGCGAACGAGTTGTACTCCAACTCTAACTCCAACCTACGAAGTTGAGATAAGAACGGACGGAGATCAATCCGATAAGCTCGAGGGAAACCCTAGGATTCCTTGAGAACTGTGTAAATATTGGCCTCAACCTTCACTTTCTTTCACACCCGAGCTGAGCTCAATATGAATATATACGTAGACATATATATGTAGATTACAGCCCTTGGATTACCTTATTTTTTCATCTATTAATTCATTTCCGCAGAGGGTATTAAGGTCAAGATCGAAATTACCGTTTCCTAGAATCTCGTGCGTTATTCTTTCCTTAACTGTTTTTCTGCAATTCTTTCCTAACCGGTTCCCCTGCATCCTGTTTCTCTCCTTCTCCGCGAACAATCTTTTTGCTTCATGAACGTAGCTTTCCTTCTACGAACTGAGTTATTTCGTCATCTTCTGGATTCTCCATTCTAAAGTTCTTCATGGAGTTCGGTTAGTGTTTATCGTTACGTACAGATGTTATGTTCTCTTACAATACGATTGATTCTTGTATATTCGTTTAATTATTTTATGTATATTCATAATCAACACGAATTCAAAATACGTCTGATTCATGTGCATGCCAATCAACACGTTTACCAGTTTAATTTTATGTATAGAAGTTAAACGAATGATTCTTTGTTTCTTGTAGATGTTGTATGTAATGCGTTTGTAACTTACCTGTTCTATATCTATGTAATGCGTGTGTAACTTACCTGTTGTATATTAATAAAAAAAAATTGGGTGTATTTTGATATTAAAATTTATTATTATCTTGATTGTGCACTTTAAAGTGTATTATGTTGCTCGTATTTGGGTTTCCATATTGCACTTTTGCTGTACTCTATGCCCTAAAGTCATTTTTTTGAATAATTTGTTTGTATGGTGTCATCAGGTTCAAGTGACGTTCCCTTTAGTGCCTCTACATCGATTTCTGAACCGTTAGATGTTAATACAGTGCAACTTTCTCCCGGATCCACCATGTACTGGACACCTGATTGCGACCCTGATTTGAAACCGCGTGTTGGTATGTTATTCAATAACTTACGTGATGGTATGCTTTTTTATGATCAATATGCATCAGTTTGTGGTTTTGAATCACGTAAAAGCAGCCAACAGAAGGCTCGTGATGGCGTTATTGTTTGGAAATATATGGTGTGTAATAGACAGGGATTCAAAAATGTATCTAAATCTACCACAGTTGCACCTAAAACTGATTCATGCATCAATGACGATTTAGCTAGTCAATTGATTAGTGACAATGAAGATTTCACTATTGAAAATGATTCATGTGAATCTGATGGATGTGAAACTGATGAGCAGCATGATGTTGAATATTTACCAACTCCCGGTGTGTGTGTTAAAGATGAGGAGAAAAAAAGACGAAGGGTTTCTAATAGGTGTGGTTGCAGAGCACGTGCAATTTTTAGGCTTACAGGCATGAATCGATATGTAATTACATTCTTTGAGGAGAGGCATAACCATTGTATGTTTTCTGATTCGTCGCAGCCATTTCTAAAAGTCAATAGAAAACTAGACATTGGACATCAAAAAAAAATTTGAATTGTGCCAAAGCAAATATTGGCACAATGAAATGCTATCGTTTGTATAAGGAAACTGTCGGGGGTTATGCTAATATTGGTGCTACATCCGTGGATTTTAAGAATTTTAAACGTGATTTGAAGGCTTATTTAGTTGGTGTGGATGCACAAATGTTGATAGATAAGCTTTTTAGAAAGAAAGAGATTTCTTCCGCCTTTTCATTTGACTATGATGTTGATGAGAGTGACCAGTTGACACGAATATTTTGGGCGGATCCGGTGTGCATAAAGAATTATGCATTATTTGGGGATGTTGTTTCGTTTGATGCTACATACGAGACAAACAGGTATTGTGTAAATAAATAATTATTCGTTTTTTTAACTTCATAGTTTTTATAAATTTATGAATGCTATAATTTCGAATCTTTACATATGATATGCATTTCATGTTATTCATAATGCACAATGTTATATTCGTGATTGCATTTTTTATTTATTTCTCAATGCAGGTATAACATGGTTTTTGCCCCTTTCACTGGCGTTGATAATCATAAGAAGTGCATTACTTTTGGTGTTGGGTTGTTGTTGAAAGAAGATGTTGAATCATATGTTTGGTTGTTTCGTTGCTTTTTGAATGCAATGGGTCGGGAACCTAGGTGCATCATAACAGATCAAGATCCATCCATGAAAATTGCTATTCCATAGGTTGTCACTACAACATGTCATAGATTTTGTATGTGGCATATCATGTCCAAGGTGAGTTCTAAAGTTGGTCCGGTTTTGAGTAAAGACTCAAATTTTATGAAAGAATTGAATTCAGTCGTGTGGAGTCATTACTTGCAGCCATCAGAATTTGAATTGAGATGGACTAATTTGATGAGAGAATATGACCTACTTGAGCACAATTGGTTTTCTCACATGTTTGAGATTAGGAAGATGTGGATTCCTGCTTTTTTTGGTGATTCAATAACTTAAATTCATGCATATCGAATTTAAATTATCACTTAAAATATCACTTTTCATAGTTTTTGATGCAAACGCGTTCAAGAACGTTCACCAGAATCTTCAAGTTTCAACATGCACTAAATCTGTAATACCAAAAAATTATACCAAATACACAGTGAGCAAATGAGTTTCACATTTTTCGTACCTGTAGCACATTTTCCGCTTCCAGATGCTCCTTCGGTATCGTTCGTTGATGTCATCTTCAATCCAAAGCTTCGTAGGGTTTCGACGGTTCTTGATAATTTCTTCCAAGCATGAGTAGAGCTCTGTCTTCAGTAGAACTCTGCACAAGGCAGTTTCCTTCACCGGCACATTAACCGGGATTCTTGCCATAATTCGCCCAATCGCAATAATTACTCGCTGATTTCTTTTACCAAAATGTCCTTTAAAGATTTTTGCAATGCACGTTTGGCTTTTTAATCACTTCCACGCACGTCTCACGTGCATTTTTTAACAGCCGGAAGCTTCGATCTAAGCCGCAGGATTGAAACGATGGAAGGCCAAAAATCATTCTCATTTCTCTCCTGGGAGTCTATTCTCACTGGAACCCTCCCCTATATATATATATAGGGAAGGGATCAAATAAAAAGAGGTTCTCCCGTGCAAAGTGCGAACAATTGCATTTTTCATCACCGCGTTGCACTTTTGCGTAATTCTGTTTCACTTTTTCGCGGTGGCAAAAAAAATCGTTTTAATTACGAAATTGCCACCGCGTTTTTGATCAAATTTAGTTCACCTTTGACTCATTTTGAGCCATTAGATCTGGAAAAGAATGCACGAGATTAATTCTCACTTTGTATGGGAAGACCTCTTTGTATTTGAACCCTCCTATATATATATATATATATATATATATATATATATATATATATATATATATATATATACACACACACACACACACACACGAAAATCCAACCCAGTGATATACTAAACACCGAGCCTTGAAAACACCCTAAAAACCTTCTCCTTCGTGATAGGAATCCAACGGTGAAAGAAACGTGGAAAACGGTCGTGAAACGAAGGAGAAAAGCTTCGCCGGAGTTTTTGCCGGACTCACCGTAACGATGGAAAACGGAGAAGAAGAGGTTGCCGCCGCCACTGCCGGACCAGTGCTGACCATCGCCATCCCGGAAGGAGTCCGCTACCACCATCTTTCACCCGCAAGACGAGGTAAGCCCTGCACATCCCGTTTCCGGCGTTCACCGCGAGGAAGACGACCCAGCTAAAAGCTGGGGTCTGTCTTTTGGGCTGGCTGTTGCTGGGTTTCTTTAAAAAAAACTTTTGGGCCGGTGGATTAAAATCAGTATTGGGCTAGCCGAAAATATGTAATAATAATAATAAGGATAATAATGATGATAATATAATAATCTGAAAAATAGATTTATTACAGATTGAGAAATACTAATAATGTAATTGGCTTGATTAATTGATAGTAATAACTTGGATAAATTTGTTAATTGTTAGATGATAAAAGGAGTTGATGATTAATTAATAAAAACTAACAAACGAGTACTATATTAAAATAGTAATTATTTTGGACTTAGTACCATAATTAGATTAAATAAAATTAGATAGACATTAATTTCATTAATTATTGGACTAATATAAGTAGATTAATAAAATTAACATAATTACGGAATCAGAAATACTAAGTGTGTGATTAATAAAAAGTGATTAATAAAATATATTCGAATTATTAATTAATACTATTAATAAATTCGAATAAAAGAATAAATAAGGAGAGAATTCGGGTAAAATAATTACAAATAAGATAAGTGACTAATTATCATCTTAATTAAAAAGGTGAATATTTAGAGACTGGAATTGAGGAAGAGAATTAGGAGCATCAGGACTTAAGGTAAGTTTCTCTGCCAATCCAAAATTCTTTCCTCGTATTATATGCTTATTATGCATTATTATGTGATTAAGGGTAAATTTTGAATTGTGTGTATGTGATTTTGAGAAATACAAGTTAAAAGTACTTTTTGGGGTATTAAATATTTTTAAATACCTTTGAGACTATTTAGAGAGATTGAGAAATATTTTTGGAAGTATATCTTGATTCAAGATAAAATTAAGGATTTTATAAGAGGTGAGCACCCGGGAGAAATCCGTGGTGTCGGTTTTTCCACATCCGGATAAATGTGGAGGGTGGTTAGAGCTATATACTGCGGGTTTAGTTTAGATTGATTATTGGTGGCGGGAGAAATCCCGGTAAATATTGGTGGCGGGAGATTCCCGGTATTTCTTTTGAGAACATTAAAAGTTCTTTGGTGGCCGCGGTAGTAGTTTCTAATTATCTGGGTATCTAACCCATTGTGAGGTAGGGGGACATTGTCCGAACTACTTGGACTTCTTACTACTCGGAGGGTTTGGAATCCCTTTTATGGGGTGTTCAGTTTCCAATCGGTGGTCAGTGGGAGCCGGAATTCCGGGATGAGTCGTACACAACAACGATTCATTGGGCTCGAGGAATCTTGAGTTTCGCCCATCTTAAAAGAATCTAAGAGTGGCATTGATTTTGGAATGGTGGTATTTTTAGCTACAAAAGTTATATTTTGAAAAGTGATACTTTTATTTGAGATGTTAATTGTTTGGAGCATATAAGTATTATTTTTAACTATACGGGCATTTGAGATTATAAAGTTAATAAATGATGTTTTTGATTAGAAAAGAATTTCGGTGGTGTGAGTATTTTTATATAGTATTATATGAAAAATTATTTTCGCCAAACCTGGTTATTTTACGGGGTTGGGTAGTACTTACTTAGCTCTAAAGCTAATTTTTGTTTCCTTTTCTCTGTTTTGTTTTCTGCACTTTATTTGTGCAGGTAATGATGAATATGAAGCTAATGATGTTTGACGAGCATTGAGAGCGCTTTAGAAGATTTAAGTGTAGTCTTCACTTATTTTAAATTATGTTATTAAATTTTAAATTTAAGATTTTAATTCGGTTGAACTCATGATGGATAGCCTTAACATCCAGCCAAGTTGAGGGCTGGGTGTGGCGGTAACACACTCTTTTTTCATTACTGTTATTTCCGCTGCAAAACTCTATCTATTTTTAAGGAATAAATCAAGATTGTTATCAATATATTATTATTGTTATTATTATTTTGGGCGGGAAAAATGGGGGTGTTACAAGGTGCTCTGCAACAAACACACGTTCTTACACGTTCACAAGCAATCCTACACGTATTTCAGCTCGAAAAACATCTCCAGCTCTCTGAAAAATGAGTGTTCTTCTTTGCTCCCGTTTGCCGCAACTTTCGTTTGTGTGCTCAAACGTTAGTTCGTTAGCCACCGTATCCTGGGAAACGATCGTTGCAACGCTCCTAGCACCGTGGGAGGCGACGAATAAGTTTTAAGGACATCGTGCGTAGCACGAGCTCCGGCTAAACTTTGTTCCATCTATTTTCTGTTTTCTTTTGGCTATTTTATTTATTAATTAATTTTATTTAATTAATATTTCTTCGTTTTTCCGAGACACACCCAACAACACTTTCCCACGCGCCCTCACTCTCCCTCTTTGACCTAGATATCATCTGTTTTCCGAAAAACATTGTCATTCATCTGTCAAAGTCAAAGCAATATCCCATCATTCACGGTGCTTTGGCTAGATTAGCCCTACATAGCTTAAAACTTCTCTTCCAATGCCCTTTCTTTGCTGTAGAGGCATACATCCTTTAGTACCTTAGATTTCTTTTGAATCCTACCTAGGTTTCAAAGTTAGAGGCTTAGATCTAACCTTACTTCTCTTCTTCTGTTTGTTCTTTCCCGTAGGAAAAGATTCAACGGTAGAGCTTACCTTAGCAATGTTATTCTTCTGAACGTCCATGTCAAACATAACTAATTCAGAAGAGTTGACATTAGGAACCTCAGGTACACTTGTGTCAAACACATTCTCAATATTTTCTTACCTAAACACTAAACACACATTTTGTTCGAAGTCTAGAAAGTCTGGTTGAGTCAGATTATTTGTATCCAAGATACTTCTCAATGATAAATTCGACTTCCTAAAGTCCTAGAGAAGTTCAAATGGAACGGGAATTAAAATTCATATAATAATTTCTATGATCACATTTAGTTAACTAAATAATCCCGACTTTTAATTATTTAGCTCCCACTATTTTTACACGTTCTTTGACCCCAATAAAAAGAACATGGAATGTTTTACAATCATAGTGGCCAAGATCCTGATTCATACTATTACAATCCCAGCTGGGGATGATCACTGCAATAATATAACGGGTAGGTCCCTAGACTAATTGCGTCCAAACAACTCTTGGTTGATCAATTTTTAAATTGATCGACACCCTTAAATTAACACTGATGCTTGGGCGACTCGAGTTAATTTAATTAAGTCAAAACCATCACACAATCACAAACATATGTATCTATAAATTAGTTCTATATTTTGTCGAATAGAATAAAAACTTGGGTGAAATATTCTTCAACGAAAAAATGTTTCTACTAATTTAATTATGATGGGTGATATCGTTATCCCAGATAAGACTTAAATTTTAATTTATGGGGAAGTTTAGCGGGGTATTAAATTACTTTATTTAATCAAGATGCTAATAACATATTATCAAATAATACGTTAATGAGATCTAACTCAGACAGATAAATTAAAGCATGTAATATAAATCTAATTTATAACAGATATCATTCACACACTAATAACATAAGCATGCTTGAAAACAATAATAACAACATATTATTGATCAAATCAAAATCGTTGAAATTAAGTTATCATTTACATCTAATTAAAAATAACTTAATTTTATCAAAACATTTCTTACATAAAAATATCATAATAATTTTGTTATTCCGTTTCTGAAGAATTGGTAAAGCACTTCTAATTTGCATCGATTTTATAGAAAACATGAATCACACTTTGAATTGATACGAAAATAATTCAGC